AAGTGGTGTTGTCCTGGTCTTTCGGATGCCAAACAACTTAGCAGCATTCTTGGTAACACAGCTTATTCAAAGTTACAGCCTTGATCTGAATGCAGTTCGTATAGCATACCAAACCAGAAGAAGAAATCACTAATAGCTGAAGCTACAGTTGTAGCTTCCTGATTTGGTATTGCATATGCCTCAGCCCACTTGGTGAAATAATCCATCACCACACAAATGTATTTGTTTCCAACACGAGTTTGGGGCAATGGACCAGCAATTTCAAGGGCTACTCTTTACATTGGTGTGCCAACTTGATATAACTTCATTGGAGCACGTCCCTTATGCTTGAGTCTCCTTTTAGCACAACATGTACTGCAGCTCCTGCACCATTCTTCCACATCTTGCCTCATACCTATCCAGTAAAATTTCTGTCGTAGGTAATTCAATGTCTTCTTAACTCCGAGATGTCCTCCTGTTAAACTATCATGGGATTGACGCAGCATAACTTCCAGTAATTTTATCGGTATAACTGTTTGCCAGATCGTCACTTTCCCATCTGCAGTTTCTCATTTTCGGACAAGAATACCATCTTCAAACTTCAATTGGTCCCATTGTGCCCAATAGTTCTTTGTCACAGGGCTTAAGCTAGACACCTTCTCCCAAGCAGGGCGCAAAACACTTGCTTGTAGAGAATCAATTATTGGCTTCAAATCATGGTCTTTCTCCTGTTCTGCTTTAATATCTATACTTGGTTTCACTTCGCCATCATCAACTCCTCCAGTCACTTTGATAGCTTGATAGCACCTAGTTAGTTCAACCTCTTTTTTGCAGCAATGTCTACAGTCATTTTTGTGGGGTCTTTGGCTCAGTCCATCAGTATTTCCATGAAATTTTCCTTTTCTGTATTCAATATCAAAATTATACTGGTCTAACTTTCCGATCCAACGTGCCAGTTGACCCTCTGTGTTCTTTAATGATCTTAGCCAGCGTAATGCAGCATGGTCTGTCCTGATGGTAAACCTAGCCCCATAAAGGTAAGGATATAAATATGTCAGATTCTTTACTATAGCAAGGAGTTCCCTTCGTGTTACACAATAGTTCCTCTCTGTTCTACTCAGGACCCTAATGAAGTAGGCCACCACATGTTCGCTTTCACCCACTTTCTGAGACAACACTCCTCCAATTCCGACATTACTAGCATCGCAATCCAGTATATATGGCAGTGAGGGATTTGGAAGCTTTAAAAGTAGAGCTGAGGCCAATTTTTCTTTCAATGTCTTGAAAGCATGGTGGCAAGAAACTATCCATTGAAACTTCTGGCCTTTTTTTGTCAAATCATGTAGTGGAGCAGCTATAGTTGCAAAGTCTTTCTCAAACTTCCAGTAATAGGTACAGTGCCCCAAGAAACTTCTTAACTTTCCCACATTGTCTGGTGTTGGCCAATCACGCACTGCTTTCATCTTGTCAGGATCAGTTCGTACACCATGCTCACTTACAGTGAGACCCAAGTAAAGCACCTCTTTCTGGAACAAGTGGCATTTCTTGGGATGGAGTTTGAGGTTTGCTGCTTTCAAACGCTTGAATACTTCTTCTAGCCAGGACATTTCCTCATCAAACATTGTTGCAAACACAATGACATTATCCAGGTACAATTGGGCTATCCTCCATTGTAGGCCTTCCAGTACTCTTTCCATCAGCCTCTCAAATGTTACTGGAGCATTGCTAAGCCAGAATGGCATCACACAATATTGCCAGAGACCATGGCCATAACTAAATGCAGTCTTAGGTTTATCTGCTTCAGCCATTTTCACTTGATGGAAACCCAACTTTAAGTCCAGAGTTGAAAACCACCTGGCTACACTTAGAGCATCAATAGTATCATCAATTTTTGGAACTGGGTATGAGTCATTTTCGGTTATACTGTTAAAAGCCCTGAAGTCCACACAGCAACATTGGGTCCCATCCTTCTTCTGGACTGACACTACGGGAGCTGACCATCTGACTATCTGATTTCTCGACTACCCCTTCCTTAATTAGGCCATCCATGACCATCTCCATCTCTTATCACTTTGCTGGAGCTATTCTCCTCAGAGGGATCTTTATTGGACAGTGATTGCCTGTGTTTATTCTGTGCTCTACCAGGTTTGTGCATCCGAGGTCATGATCTCCTTTCGAAAAGACGTCAGCATAATTTACCAAAAGTTCTTTTACCTGAAGAGCCTGTGATGATGACAAATGGACTATGCTATTCTTATAGAGGTCAGTTAAATGTTCTGGGAGAGGATGTCCTTTTTTATGGTTGTATTTCTTGCCTTAACATTGACTGGCTCTATCTCCTGCCACACACCCAACAATGCCCCTTCCTTAAGTGTCTGCTCACATTTAGAGAAATTAGTCACTGTTATGGGTACTACTTGATGACCCGCTACAAGTGACCTTCCAATCTTCAAATCCGCTGGCCTG